TGTTAACATTTCCGCATAATGCTGGTCAGTTTTAAACCCTACGTAGGTTTACATGAGATTTATTTTCCTGATGATGTTCTTTACATATTAGCCCGAATTGCGCGAATCTGCTCGGTTGGGCGATTCCGCTCAAATTGTGCGTTTTCGCTCAGATTGCGCGAATTCGCTCACTTTGTACTTGGGTGAATCCACACGTTTTGAGCGATTCCGGGAGAATCGTCATTAATCTCTACTAAATAAAGTAAAATAAATATGAATGTGCTACGGATTGATTAATAATAATAATTAAACACGCGAAACGTAACACGAATTCAGATGATAATAAATAATACACGTTATTGATAAATAAATAGAATTAATAAAAATAAAAATAATAAAAATAATGAAATAATAAAAATAAAAATAGAAATAGAAATAAAATTTAAATTGTCCCGGAATTAAGAGATTCGATCAAAAGACCTTAATCTGCGTCAAAATCTAATTCCGGTAACACGTGCATAAAAAAAAACTTTTTCAAAATTCCACCCAAAACTTTTTTTATTAATGAGTGTGAATTGGTGTCCTAAAACATAAATTTTTAAAAAAATTTTCTGGATAATAAAGGGAAAATTTTATAAAATGTGATTTTATTTGCCGTCAAGATCTGAGTGCTTAAATAATCTTTGGTAAATGCTTTCTAATAAAATAATACTATCAGATTTATTGGTAAATCTCGATTTTTGAAATATTTAGAGCCTAAGTAACAATAAAATAGAGAGTTTTTTCATTTAGCATTAAATGCACTCACGAAGCAGATAGATGGTCACGACAAAGGAAGAAATAGACAAATTCAGAAATTTGTTTAGTGTTGATTGGCGTCTCATTCTTTAGAATTGAAGCATGGTGCTAAAGTGATTGTAATTGCATGTAGAATGAATAATTAGTTGTGAAAAACTGCTAAATGGTCAATTAAATCAATGAACTTGTATTAGCAACTCCTGTTAGTATTTGCAGGGATTAAGTATCCCTAGGCTTTAAGTAAGATCTTTGTTAAGAAGCATGCTTGCGCAGCTCTTTCTCGTGTAACTTCATTAAGATCTTCGCAACACCAATCGTATGGACTTCGAATGTCAAGAATTTCCTTATAATAATAGTAAAGAATGAATTCATATTTCCCAAACCCAATACAAATTGCTATTGAATAATTGGCTAATGATTATATCACCATCACATTACAATTGTGGCATTTGGTCAATGCTTTCGTACCACAAAAATTGCGTTATATTCATTTGTTGCGGTCTATACCATTTAAAGTTTAATGTGATGACGAAATTGAAATAAACATCATTATAAGTAAAAATGGTAATAAAAAAATGAAGGGAAATCAGACCCAAAACTGTATTTAAAAGTTTTTGACTCGCAATGTGTGATTGGCTGATTAGAGAAAATCTGACTATAAAGAATTTGACCCAGCTACGGCATCAAATAATCTAATTACTATAATGGTTTCCAATCTTTGCATCACCAATTAAATAAATTCGTAAATATATACATGATTTTCAATAAAAAAAAAAAATAAAAAATAATTCCAAACTTATTATTTTATTAAAGTTGAGTGAAAAATAAATTTATTTTATTTTATTACTTAAATTTTTTAATGTAAATAATAATAATAATAATAATAATAATAATAATATAATAATATAATAATAATAAACATAAATAAACAATAATAAAGAGAAAAACCAATGAAATTAACAAAATTTTTTTCTTCAGCTACTCCAAGTAAACTCAAACCAACACGTAATAAACCAATCTCAACAACAACAACAACAACAACAACAACAACAACAACGCCATTATCGCTCAATAATTCAAATAATTCAAATAATGTTAAAAATGTTTCTTCATCCGCACTCTCCCACTCCTCTTCCTCCCCCTTCGTCCCTACTTCTATTACCACTACTAATTACTCCTCTCCAACTAATAAACATAAATATTTAGCAACTCCTTCAGTACTGCCTCCATCTCCAAATAATAATAATAAAAATAAAAGTTCAAAATTAAATAATCATAATAAATCTTTGCTATTTACATCAGATCAATCTATAAATAATAATAAACAATATTTCTACTCTTCACCAAATACTTCCTCACAATCATTACCATTTGACGAAGATTTAGATGGCAATTTGTTTTATAAAACTTTGAAAAAAGATTATCAAAAAATATTTCATAAAGTTTCAATAATTTGTGTCCCACACTCTAAAAGCATTCTAGGTTTAAGAATGTCTAAAAATTTCATTGGTAAGTGTTATAACGATAATAATCATTATTTCCTTGAAAAAGAGGGGATCATAAACAACAAAACAACAATAAATAATAATAAAATAAAAGGATCCGCACCATTTAAATAAACTTAGATGATTACTGCGCTGCATCTTACATTGATCTAATGTTTATATATTATTTAAATATAATATATAGAGTCACATTCTTTTATTCCATCGCCATATTTTCAGGGTCAATTTCAAAGTATTAATGATAAAGTAATGATAATAGAAAATAATCATGTAAAAACATTAAAAGGTACGTATTCGAAGAAATATATATAATCTAATATATAATATTATTAAATTTATTATTAAATTCCTTTTCTCATATTAAAAAAAAAATATATAAAAGGGTTCAAAGAAGAAAGAATAATTAGAATATTGAGTGATGAATTAGTTTATAATGAAGCATATAAATCAGTTCAAGTCCTAGTTTTGGAAATGCCTTTAGAAGGTGAATGGAAAAAAATGAATAGTGAAAAATTTGGTGGAATACAAATTCCACCAGAAAGAAATCATGAAATGGATCTACAATTCTTGAAAAATATATTATCATCATCACATAATGACTCTTCAATAAAAAGTATGGAGGATATGGTGGAAGAGTTTAAAGAAACTTACGTGTATGTTAGAGGTTATGCTGGGTTTACTGTAGATAAAATTTCCCAGATTTTTCAAAAATCTGTTCTGGTAATTATCAATTTAAGAAAAGTCGTTAATTAATTAGTTAGTTAATTAAATCAAATTATTTGTTTGCTTGTTTATTAGAGTTTTCTGGAATCCAACGAAACATTGAGATCAATTTGTCAATTACCACATGAACATGATTATTTCCTAGAACTAGTAGAAAAGTAATATATCAATTTTTTTATTCCAAAAAATAATTTTTACTATAATACTAATAATTATATATATCTGATTTTTTTTAAAAAAAAAAGTATTTTGATGGATGCTTTACATGAAAAAATATTCATTCAATCACTATTACCAATTTATCATTCACATGACACATACCTTGAATCAATACTAAATGTCTATGCAAATGCACACATCACACTTAAAGATTATGGTGTATCAGAACGCCTTCAAGATATCCCGGTAGAAATGTTAGAATCAGCGCGTGAAATCTTGAAATTGATTGATGGTGATAACAACGAGTGTGAATCAACAACTATTTCATCATATGCAGGATTAGGAATCACCAACATAGATGATCAGGATGATAAGAAATTGACGCATAATGAAAACTTTTTAGCTTCTATACCTTCAACAACTCCATTAGAGAAATTGTTTTGTATTAAAAGAACTCTTCAAGAAATTTCAAATGCTTCATACGCTTATCTAACTCAATCTGCTACACTAACCCACAATAATATCAATAATAATAATAATAGCGATGATTATAGGAATTTTAACTTTTCTTCAATAACAAATAGTAGTAGTAATAGTAGTAATAGTAATTATGATAGTCAAGATGAAGGGTCATTAATTACCACTGATGATTTCATACCCTTACTTGCATATGTGATTGTTAATAGTAGATTAAATCATTTGGCAAGCGTTTTATTCTACATGCGGACTTTTCGTTTATCAAAAATTGAGAGATCGGAATTAAGGTAAATCGTCATCATCATCATCGTCATCATCATTTATTGATATATTTTATATAAATATATATTGCGTTTCAACGTTTACCTACGTTATATCTACACATGTATATTTTGCAGCTTTGCTTTGACTACATTACAAGCATCGACAGAATTTATTAAATCAGACCCATTGTCAATTCACGATGCTATATCCACCACATCATCAATCTCATCAATCTCATCTTCCCATTCATCATTTAAATTTCCATCACCGTTAATCAATTCATCTAATCGTATACGCAGTCGTGCAACTTCAATATCCACACCTTCTTCGCCAATAATCTCATCACAATTAAATAATCCGAATATTAACAATAACGTATCAACCAATCATTCCTCAAATTATTCCGTTACAACTCCTACTACATCGTCACAAACATCATCAAATAATAGACGTGATAAATCACCTGCAAGGTCATTTACTTCAACTACCAGTTCAAGAACAAGTCCTTCAACGATTGTTAATAGTAATAGAAATCGTAATTCACATAGCGATGAAATAAATTCCTCTTCATCATCATTCACCTCAACCACTTCAAGTGGAAAGTTGTCTTTTGATAATTATTATTACAATTCAAATAATAATAGCCCATTTTGTGTGCCTACTATAGAAGATAACCATCATGATGTTCATCAACCACCGCAACCATCAGTAAGAAGAAGAAGATCTTCAATTGCACCTGGTGGTCTAGTTATAAAACCACAAATTTTATTAGTTCCTTCGCGTAGCCCTCAACCACGTACTAGTATTGACAATGATCAATGTTCATTCAATCACAATAACAACAATAACAACAACAACAACAACAACAACAACAACAACAACAACAGTGAGAATAATAATAATAATAATAGTGAAAATAATACATTACCAACATACTTGCTTGAACATCAATCATCATCATCAGCCTCTTTATTACCATCCAGCCCTTCATTATCCTCAAAAGCTTTACCAACAATATCTGATACATCAAATAATAATGATGATGACGGTGACGTTGCTGCACCATTGCCATTAATCAGATCATCACAGTCAAGGTCTAATTCTTTACAAAGTTGTAATAGCTATGGCAATAATAATAATCACACTAATAATAAAAAAACATGGCGCCATTCTATTCATGCACCAGAAATAATTACAATTACACCACGCACATCATCTCATGCTAATGGTGGTGGTTCCAATAACAACAATTATATTAGTTTTTCGAAACCAATACTCGAAATTACAACACCAAAACCTGAAATTTTGGGCGATTTTCTTTCTGGCTTACAAAATATTGACGGTGATGTTGTTTCTGGTGATCGTAATGGTGGATTCAAAGTTAGAAAATGGTGATTTAAACATCAATTATTCCACATCTTTCTAAAACCTTTTTAACATTTCGCTTTAATGCCTTACTTATATATTTCAAATTGACATTTATGGGCATTATATGGTTTTTTTATCTATTAATTAATTATTTATTTATTTATTATTTTGATTTTTTTTTTTTTTAAAAAAAATATTTTCCCGCTTGTATAATTATTTACTTGATATCAGTGGTCAGTTTTTTGGTGATGGATGAATTGATTGATTTGTTTATATAATAAAAAAGACCAAGTAAAAAATTTAAATTCAAAATCTGTAACTTTCAATTTAGATGTTATTATTATGACAATTGAGTGAACTTTTCATTTGTATTCAAAATTTATTTGGCCGCAGTCGTAAGCTATATTGAGGAAAAAGTTGAATTGATCTTTTCAAACACAATCCGTGCAAATGTTCCTAACGCTGTCACAGAAAAAAACTATATGACTTAGTGAAGTATCAAATACATCCTTGTAATATAATGTGTGGAGGACCAGGTCCAAATGATGAACCATGTTCTAAAGGATTTCTCGGCCATTATCTAATACATCCGGAAAACGGTAACATATAATGTGATAACATTGCGTTTGCGTGTAAATCACACGTTTGCATTTAAATGTTTGCGAGTAATTATTATGCTGTAATTAATGGACATGTATATAGGCAACAAGTTTCGACTTGGAAAACAAATAATCCTATTAAATAAATAATTTTGCTGGTATAAAACCTTTTTCATCTGTTCCTCATCGATTAAATTGCTCTCACATACAAAATAAAACTTGCTAATTGCGAACCGGTTTGGCGGTTTTACTATAACCGGGCGGGTACCTGGTTAAAACCGGTTTTGATTTTGAAGTGATGATCAAAACCAATATTATTATTATTACTATCGTCATCATTATTGTCACCTATTCTACTACGAGCATTATGCTTTTTTTTTTTTTTAGACAAATTAGCGGTGGATTTTATTTTTGTCTATTTTTTTTACAAGAAAATCAGCTGGCCAAGCCGTTTAAAAATTCCTTGGTCGGCTGACATCACTATCTTGAAGGCGAATGATAAAAAGCTTTATCGAAACCTGAGTCGAAATTCTCTGGTGGGGGTAACAGCGGGTACATTACTATCGGATATCTTGTGATTATCCTCAAGAAAAAAATTTAAATTAAAATTAATCATTGAATACTTTTAATATTTTTACCAAAGATAATATTGCTGCTCAATTTGCCAATATCTTTCTAATGAGGGAAAGATCTATGGTCAGCCCTTCTATCTGCAAGAAGTGTGTGCCCTTCATCGGAAAAGACGCCAACGTATTACTTGTATAGAATGTGGTGAGCCGACTGCCATTGAACATAGCTTGTGTAATTTGTATGTGGATAAATGCTATGGTAAAGCCCATTATTACCGGCCAAAATTATAGAGTCAAAAAGGTAGGTCTGTTTTTTAAAAATCCACTCTCATGTCAAATTTCAATAGTGGCTTATTTGGTGAATTATGGAGGAGATAGAACTTGAATTTTTTTTAACCAATTTGAAAAATCTTCATATTAATATACTAATTTTTATATATGGCTATATATAATTTTGATCTATATAGTTGATCAACCCAATGTACCATATATTATAGGTATCATAGGAGGAAATGAATTTCAAATTCTTTCTTGAACTTTTACTTTTTACTAGAACAGATAAGATAGGTATATAAGTATAAAAGGAAATGATAAATCAAAGTTAGAACCTTTTATTTTATAACAAAATACATCCCAGTTAGCTAACTTTTTTTTCATAGGACGAAACTAGGATGTATTTTTACTGGGACGCGTCCAAATCCATTTTGACAACGTTCCTGGATAACAATCATCATGGGTATACTTTGGTATGGACAAGGTAAGTAGTCATGGTAAACCTGGTGCCAGCAATCGAATCAATCGGCAAATTACATCATTTGGATAAATTAAAAAATTATAGTGATAAAAATTTATATATGAAGAAAAGTGAATATAATGGTTCTAGTGAACATTACATTTTTTGCTCTTCAAAAAAAAAAAGGTTGCTAAATTGCATGATGCCTTTAAGACATATTTTCAATGACTCAACTTGATAATACTATGGTGACATTTTTTTCAGTTTCAGTTTCCTTTTTGGATTTAAATTTATTTACTCGGATTATAGTGAGACGGTTATCTTCATTCTTTTTTAAAAGTATTTTCAAATCATAGTGACATTCAATAGAAATTTCCCGGTCCTATAGTAAATTACAGTGAGTATATAACTTGATTGATGCTGATTGCTGGAGATTGGCACCGTTAGCCGTTTAATAGTCACATGGTATCGATGAGGAGATTTTTATATTATATATATATACAGAATATAACCAACAAATGTCTAGATATCCGAAAAATTTGGATAACTTGCTTGCAGGTTGACCTATTTACCTGAATATAAGATTAATTCGAATAAAGTTTATTCAAACAAATGATTCGTAATCAAATTGAGTAATCGAATCAAACGAATCAAGCGAATAATTGGAATCTTACTAAAAAGGCAAAGGTCCCTTTTTGGAGACCTATTTCTATTTGGATAATTTGAATAAAACGAATCATTCGAATAAGAAATTATATTACGCGTAGAAACTCTATCCAAACAATAAAAAAATATTCCATTGAGCTGTCATTCCTTAAATATACACGTAGATTTTCATGAAACTTATGAAACGTAAAACGCGTGAAAACAAACCAAATCACGTCATGTCCAAACTGGTGTATATATAATGTTCAAGTTAATTTTGATCCGCAGGACAACTTCCGCTTAATGCGCAAATTGTGTTTACTTGATTTTTTTTTTAAAGGAAAGGTTAAAAAACACATAAAATGCGTAAAAACAACAAAATCACATCAGCAGCAGTGCAAATTTTACTTTGTACATGTGTCGCGTTTTTGGCAAAGTTTATAAACGTGAAACATAAAAATACAAAAACCCAAAATCAAGTTTCTTTTTCATATATATATATATATATATCAGATATTAATATAACCTGTTAGTCTGTCATATCAACAACCAAAGAAAACTCAAATCAGGCAGGTGATTACTATATTGCAAAAAATTTTTTTAAAATGGTAATTATTTTAATTACTACTATATATATACTAATTTTATTTAGCCATTTAATTTAATTGACCGGTTTTAAGCGAGTACTAGTAATGCAGTAAAGATTTCCTAATTTGTTAATAAAATTCTTGATCATGGATCTGAACTTTACTATATATGCTTAGTTGGGTAAATAAAGGCCACATGGTCATCTTTCCGAATTAAGTAAAAGGGATCCAAATTAAGATCAAAATATTCATTTGTATAAAATCACATGTTTTTTAAAAGCTAGACCCAACAATTTTTTTAAAGTTACCTGCCTCCCTCGACGATAGATTATAGAACTAGTTAATAGCTATCAAAAATCGTCTCTATTTTTTTCAATATTTCTCTATCTAGCTTTAAAGTCGATCAATTTTTATTCAATGGGTTTAGTGATGGAATTTTTAACCTTACACTTAATAACTCTACTTTATTAACTGTTGCATTCTGAGTGATCTATCTTGCCAATCCATCCGATGTACAGGATTCAGTGTGCGGAAATGTTCTGTGCTAACCAAATTTTGTTAGCACGCACATCCCGCATACTGAATTTTATGCACTGTCATCCATCATAAACTAAATTATCAAAATTGATATTTGATTAAACATAGATTCGAATGATTTTTGCTACCAACAAAAAAATCTGCAATTTTGTGCTTTTAACACTTAATAAGTCATCAATAGAGTTATTAAGTATTTAATCATTCATTTTTCAAAATAAATTTTACGCCCATCACTAAATGGGTTGGTGTGACCCACACTATTACCATAATAATAAAATAAAATCGCGTTTGTTTATCCATTTAATATGCCTATATATAAGTTTTGTTTAAAATGGGATTGCTATTGATATCAAACAAGCATTATAAGCATGATTAATGCACAACTGTAGACAATCAAACATAGAGAATATGTGGTAGATCATTAAAAACAATGCCAAAAAAAATGCATTTTTTTTATCTACGCAATTGTTTTGAAATTCATCACAACCACCATATACAGCTCTTTCATACAGTCAAACCTCGTTTCAGTTAAGGCAAAAATTTATAAAAACTTATTTAATTTTGCACCAATTAAAAAAAAAATATATAAAAACTTCTTATAAAAATTAAAATACACTCCACATATTAATAATTAAATATGATACTAAAAAACAAGATTGTTTATTGTTTTGTTGCCTGTCTTTTTGCAGTTAGTCATAGTAATGCCTTAGATATTGATGTTCTTATTACTTATATTAATGGTCTTGATACTATATCATTATTTACACCATCTTTTGTTAATGCAAGTATTGGAGATAATGTAGGCTATATTTTACTTGTTCATTTTTAATAATAAAAATACAAAATACAATATTTCTAAGTTATTTTTATTAGATAATATTTCAAAAAAACCCATACTCTACCGGAAATTTTCAAATTATCGAAGGTGATGTGAAAGGGTCTTGTGTAAAATCTACAAAATCTGATGCATGTATGTACAATTATTTCAATGTATTTTCTCATGATTATTTTTTAACGATATTTAAAATTATTAAATTAGTTACTGCAGAATTATCAGATGCCAAAACAACAGCTAAATTACCACTAGCAAAGTCTGGTACATTTTTTTTCTTTGATGCAGATATCGAAAGGTGTAAAAAGGATTCTAGTTCTTCTATGTGTGAAATTAGTGTTAGTGATGGAACTGCTCCTTCCGCTGCTACTCCTCCCGCTACTACTCCTTCTCAAGCTATTACTTCTGCTACTACTCTTGCTCCTGCTTCTCCTTCTGCTGCTGCTGCTACTCCTCCCCCTCCCCCTCCCTCTGCTGATACTCCTTATCCTTCTCCTTATCCTTCTCCTACTTCTCTTCCTCCTAATACTAGTGGCAACGATAATAATGGAGGGAATGTCGGAATTATCCTTGGTGCTGTTGGTGGTGGATTATTTGTTTTATCAATTTTCATTGTTGTTATTGGATTCATTATATATAGGAAAATTAATAATAATAATAATAATAATAATAACAATAATTATAATTATGGCCATAATCAAATTGGAGGAGATATACTGCATATTCCGTCATCCAATGACACAAATCACTTTATGGGAAATTCAGGACGCAGATAAAGAATTTGTGCTTTGCGAAATCAATTTTCAAAGAATTTAGAGTGTATTTATAATAACCTGTGATTTTTTAGCTATTTAAATAAATATATTTTTTATTTCAATATAAAAGTTTTTCTCAACGAACGTGATGGATTTGATTGATTTGAATATGACTGGAGTAAATTAAAAAAATTTATGGTTTTAATGGTAATAATAATTATTACTCTTAATGTTCTCATAATTGACCTTTAAAACTTAAAGAAATATTTGGCAGAGACCTCAATAACTTTTTGAAATATTTATATCATTGATTAGAAAAAGAAATCATTAAAGTTACACGGGCATTGGACATACTGCAACATTACGTCGCATGAATATTTCATAATAATAATAATGTAATATTATAAGCAACTTTACAAATTAGAATTCACCGCAGTCAAAGCCCGCGCTTGTCGTTCTACATGATTGATGCATTTCATCATCAAAATTAAAAAGGGAGGATTTGAAAAACTGATGGTAACCTTGTAACGCCATTCTCTATTTTTCAAAGCATCTGTAATATTCTTATAGAAGTCGGAAAATGCCGTGTAATTGTCAGAAACAACTGGCATTATTGATCTTAATCCACTTTAGGTTTTTGTTGGCTCTTTTTCTGCATCCTTGATTTAACAAGGTACGTTATGAATTATATGTTTTATAATGTTTTTCCGTATTTTATTATTTTATAGAGTGGTGACAGTGTCTGCACTCTATGTTTTTTATCAATGCATATTCAAGAATTTAACAAAATTATGAATTATCTTTTACTCTAACAAAAACTATGCTTTACCTTTATCTTTATTAACATCATGATTAGTATTATTATCATTTATAATCATTGCTGTCATTATTACTAACTATTTTTTTTGGAAAATAATAAAAAACTTTTCGAAGGAGAGAAAAAAAAAGTTATTAATTATTTCATGTCGAAATATCTATTTTCTCTCGTATCAAATACTGCATGGCCAATCAAAATCCCAAAAATAACAATGATATTCTTAGCCAACACTGGTTTTGGAGCAATTGTGTTCTTTCAAATCTCTCGTCTTGCTTATCTTTAACGATTGCTTCAAGGCACTTTATATTTAGGTCAAACGGTTCTAGATCGTACTCGTTTAAAAAACCAAGAATGCTCCGATCTACAGGATTTTGGTTGAAACATTTTGCTAGTGATGTTAAATCATACTTATATATAGATAATGTTTTCTTTTAAAACAAAATATTTTAATCAAGTAAAGGATTATTTTAATCCGTAAAAAAAAAATCAAGGGTCCCTGTTTCTGCGTAACGTAGGCAGGATAAAAATCATTGACAAAATAAATTTTATATAATAAGCACATGAATTTTGATATTCTCCTATTTAAATTATATACTAATTCATCCCACCTCATTTGATTTACTGTACTATTAAGAGGGAAAGTAGCACGATTATGACCAATATTTCGCCTTGTAATTGTTCCTTTTGGTGTTCTGAGAATAGGATCAAAATTAATACTGCTTAAAAAAAATAAGAGTTTTTTTTCCAATTGGGATTATATTTTCTTTATCAATTTTAGACGCTTCTTCTCTATCATTGTTATCAATTGAACTGTGTTTTTCCGATTTCAATACTTCAACGTTTTTTGTTTCAATATATTTATTTCTTCAATATAAGATTTACATGTTATATGATTAGCTTGTTCACATAGTTTATGAATTGATTATTGTCCGTATTAGAATCCAAATGTTCAATAAATGACGCATTTAAAAAGGTTACTATATGATCTTGTGTAGGAAATCTTAGGATTTGGTTTTATAATCTGTCACATGATATGATTATATATTTTAATTTTCGCGTCATTCGTACAGTCGTACAAATGGTGTTTTGTTTACCATAAACGCGCATCATCACACACCTCCTTTTTTTTATTTTTCAAATTTTTCATCAAAAAATAACAAAACAACAAAATGAAACAAAGGGTTTGTTGATATAAAGGTTTTCAATAATTAATTTATTTGTTTTTTAAAATATAAATGTCTAATACATTATCTAAATTTAAAATATAATATATGTAAAGACCGGAAAAGGTAAAAAGGTTAACAAGAACATAGAGTTTGAAAAGGTTACAGTGTTTGACAAGATTAAAAATATTAAAGATAACTCGATCGCTTTTAGAGTTAGAAAATTTAAAGAAAATCTCGCAGCACATCGTAAACAATTAGTAATTGATGTTTTACACCCCAACAAACCTCGTTTATCAAATCGTGAAATTCAAAATCAAATTTGTAAAATGTTTGGAGTCGACAAAGATGTTGTCTTTGTATTTGCTATGAGAACTACATATGATGGTAATCGTTCTAATGGGTTTGCATTAATATATGAAGATGCTGAACTTGCTAAACAATACGAGCCTCGACACAGGCTTAGAAAAGTAAACAATTTTTATTGTTAGGAATAATTAATACATATAATTTATCGATTACTAATGATTAATATATATATTTATTGATTAATTATAGCATGGTATTAAACCACCCATACTACCTCCTAAAAAACACCGTAAGAAACCAATCAAATATAGAAAAAATGCAAAATGCGCTTAAAATGCTCTTCTCACTATCTTCAATTGCATCAATTGACAAAAGTAGTTATTTCATGTGAATTTTTAGATGACAGCGAGTGAGCTAATTAAATAATTTTTTTTTCTCATCATTTTTTTTCGTAAATGTAAATTTATTCATACATCTTAATAAAAGAAAAAATTTCAGATGCCATAAATTCTCAACTTACATAGTTATAGTTCACTCTCTCTATTGCTATCTTTCTATGATGGATCTCCTATAATAGATCTTTCTCTATAAAGAACTGAGAGTTTAAGCCCAATTTATATATCCCATATATAAATCATTGCGGACATTTTTTTTGTAAGCCAAATGGTCCATTACAGAGAGTGAACTGTATAAAAATCACTTGATATTTATTAAGTTAAAATTCATAAAGACGAAAAGTAAAGTCTAATATCAATAAATTTGTTACTATGTGTATGTATATATCTATACTTCAGTTAGTTGTGATTATATTTAAATAATATATTATTATCACACAATTATTGGATTTGTATGGATCTTGTTCTTCCTGTACCATTACCATCTAAGAATCATTCCTATAACATTCTATTCTAGATGGTTACATTTTTGTAGAGTTATTCATAATTAATTACCAGTGCTTTTTTTTTTAACAAAAAAAAATTTTTTGCATTTTAAATGAAAAAAATTACTCTTTACTGGTGCATTAAAAAATCATATAACACAGCCTTGAAAATAGTTAACAGGTGCTATTTTCATTTATTAAATATTTTTTCTTCTGATATAATTGGTGTATTATTGTTGCTTTATTATTATTTACATATGAATAAAATGTAAAGGAAGAACTTAATATGATAAATAAATACCCGATCACCTCAGTATCTTCATATTCTTCTCGTTCCTCAATTTCTTGCATTGGTTGAACACTTGTTTTCCTTCCTCACCAGTATCAGGTAATTCTGGTCTAAGATAATTACCAAGTTTATCATAAAGTGAATCATCCGTTATTTGGTATTACTATTGTTGGATTTTGTTGATATGATATTTTAAAAAAAAATTTGAAATTTTTTGAAAAACTTCTTTTGAAAATACAGTCATAATGAATGTGTGGGACCAACCACCTAAATTTGTTGTACGTAACAAAAAGTTCGTTAGATAATTGTTTTTCGTTACAAAAAAAAATTAAAATATGATAAATATAATAATATAATAGTAAATTTATGACCTGGACTAATCTCATATTGTGCTGCTGATTCAACATTTTTTGGTTGAGGTTTATTTTTTTTTAACTTTTTAATTAAGCAAATTTCTCTTCTTTGTGACAAATTTTTTTTTTTTTAATACATAGCCATACAAATAACAAGACTTTATATTTATATCTTTAGAATTTCATGAAAATATTTAAATTACAATAACAATCATAAAATTTTAGGTTGCAGAAATAATCATATGTTTTAAGTCACGGAAAATAATTATATGTTTTTATTTTATTATAATTTTTAAATCATGGAAATAATTTCAGACAATGTTTTTATCATACGATTAAAAAAAAACCATCTATTGTTGCGATTTTTAACGCATTTTTGTTGAGCATCTATCATGTGACTCAGATTAGTAATTATTCAAAAGATCTTACCAAAATAAATGATTTCTTGTCGATAAAATTCGGCGAAACAAGTTTTTTATTATTAAAAAAAAAAATTTTTTTTCCCCAAAATTCGTTGTAACAAGGTTTGAAAATGTTTGTTTACAAATTGTTTGATTTTCAAAAATTTTACCTTGATTTTCAAGTTTTGTTGGAAACGGAAATCAATGCGACAACAATAGCAATAGCTATATTAAGTACAAGTGTATTAATGGTATTAGGAGGAATGACATTGATAAGTCATAAATTCAAAAGTTTAAAGGATCCTTTGAAGGCATGGAAAAGTTTGCATTATCCAATTGTCCATAAATTTAGACCATTTTTGTATTCATACTTGATAGGCTTTGTTAGCCCATACTCTGGAAGTATTAGTAAGTTTCATGCATTATTTTAAAGAAAAAAGTAATTAGAATAAAGGCGGGGAACAAAAAGTTTTTTAAACAACTTATATGCATGTTTTATGTATTATTATGATGTAAAGATATGAGGGTTATAACTTTGGATAAAGGATTTTGTTCAGGAATATTAAAGGTTAGCTGTGGAATAATAACAAATAATAATAATCGATTTATTAATTAATTTTAATATTAATTGCCTTGCTGATTTTTTAATTTATAGGAACAAAAAAAAATCCATAACCCATTTAATAGTATTCATGCAGCAGCTCTATGTACATTTGCAGAAACAATTGGAGGATTAGCGGTAATTAGTACATTTGATGAAAATATGAAAGGAATTGTTACAAAAATTAGTATTGATGTGAGTTGAGTGAGTTCTTGTTGATATTAGTAATAATTAATTGTAAAAAAAAAAGAATAATTAATTAATATATTAATATATTTTAGTATCAAAAGAAAGCAAGAGGTAGTTTGTTATTATTATTATGCACAAAACCTTTGCATAATGTTAAATAATTTATTTTTGAAAAATGTAGGATTAATTACAGCAACTTGTAATTTTAAAACGGGAGAAGGAGAATCTAAAATAGGCGAGAAGGAAGTAGAGGTTATCCTCAAAGATGAGAAATTAGACACTGTTGCTAAAGCAAATATTACGTGGCAAATAAATGAAAAATAAAATCAAAAGAAATTTATTTATTAAACTGAGTTTGTGCAAAAATAGTAATGATAATGAAAATATAATAACAATAACAATAACAATCATAATCATAGTATTTAAACAATGAAAAAAATTGAAAAAAGTTTGTATATATATATACAGAGAAATGAGATGTAAATGTAAAGTTGAGTTTTTTTATTTTCAAATTTAGAATATTATTATTGTTATCAAGAATATTATAATAGTAATTATAATTAGTAAATATATAAAATTGTTCCCACTCTCATGTAATTATAAAGAAACTCATTAGAATATAAAATGCATTCCATCATCATCATCATCAACATCATTAATATAGTTTACTACTTCATACCTCATCATTATAATAATCATCATCATTGATATCATCATCATATTTTTCAATATTATCATGCAAATCTTGGAAAATTTTCATGTTTCTTCTTTACATCTTCAAGAAAATCTCTAGTTGATTCATTATTAATAGAAGGTGCAAATTCAGGTTCTGGGAATGACAAAGGCAGATGAGAAGCTTTTGTTGATGACAATCTTGAGCAAATCAACAATAGTGGAATTATCATTATTGTCATAATTGTGTTTATAGCCATAATTTAATGGATTAAGAATTTCTTGAATGCTTCCACCCAAAATACTCCATGACTTATCACTTGCATATGAATATAAATAACTTCTATCTTCATTATCCAATAAAACGAAACTCCAAGATACTTACTTGATGGTAAATTATTATATTGTGAATAAGGCTTTGAATGAATTAAATTTGAATCACCTAATATTTGATTTGCTTCATTTGAATTGATTCGAACCTATAAATGATTTGATTTGACTTGGTTTGAATCCAATTCAAATATATGCCATATGAAATAATTTGAATTCTGCATAATTTTAAAAGAGTTGCCTTTGGAAATAAATGGGTTTGAAAGTATTTACCTAGTGCAATTATTGCATTTGGCTTTTCCATCTGCAACTGTGAAATGGTTCTACACTTCACTTTGAACACATTGCACTACACCAGTTGAAGAGGCAATTATTGTCATTCATCATTGTTATATTACTTTTCTTGTACAGTTTCTATTTGTAATACAAACTCTTATTCGAATTATTCATTTTATTTGAATAGAAATTTTACTAATATGACATTAAAAAGAAATTTAGGAATCCAATCTGGTTCAAATCAAATCAAATTGAGTCACAAATCAAATCAAGTTGAATCAAATCCAGTTAGTTTTTTGGAACTCAATTTGTTCAGAACCTTAACTCTGAAGGAGTAAAGAACAAGGATGAGAAATTTGCAAGTGTGAAAAAAAATAAGTTGGAAAAAATAAAAAAATGAGTCAACCAACTTATTTATCTTGAGACATAATAGTAATATTGTTTGTTTATTGTTTTTGTTATTATTATTATTATAGAACATTTTTTTGCAAATTTATAATTAAAGGAAGACAGGCCATAAATAAATAAAATTAATAACTTCAACTTGAATTGAATATGGTCTAAAATTCAATGTTTAATATAATTCTTGTACAATGCCATTTGACTCAAATCCTAATGCTTTACAGAAATCCTTGTTGAGTTTTGGAAATATTTGATGTAACGTTTTACTACTTTCGATTGATTAATGATTCTTGGGCTTTGTTTTGCATGCACCATCAAAATTAGAAGAAACCACCACCTTCTGATGATCTTTTTTAATGCTATCCATAGTTTTCGACTATTTTTCAATTAACTTGTTACATGCCCAATCTTCAACTGTGTTTGTGCTGTAAAAATCCATCAAGGCTGATTGAAGTCATCCATACATTTGCAACAATTACTTTAACACAATAATCAATATGTGATAATGACTTTGGTTAATAACTGTTAGCTCTTTGTATAGGTGGTCAATCAGCAATAACTGTTGACACTCAATGCTTTTGCCAACAAGTCTTAACAACTACAAAAAATTAAACAAGAATGTTTACGCTTAAAAATTGAACATTTTCTTTCTTTACTAAAACAAAACAAAACCTTTTTGATTTCCGACCATAAAATTGTTTTATTAAATTATGAGGATGTTTATTTGTAAAGAAAATAATTTTATATATATCAACTTTTTGCCTCTACTCTCGATCAAGGCTCTGAATTATTAATTAATTAATTAATTAATTAATTTTGCTTGGTCAAAAAGTGATATATAACAAAACCAGACAAAATAAATAATTGTACTACAAAATATTACAGGGATTACAGGGTCAATTGAATTGGGGATATGTTGTAAATCATATTAATACTGTAATATTAACGAATCATCATCACCGATAAATTCATCTTTTAAAGAAAACAATTCTGATACAAGTAAAAAAAGATCCAGATCTACAAAAGGATTTAATAATGACCAGCCAGCTAAAAAAACAAAGTTTCAAGAAAATCTACCTTCTGATCAAAATTTTTCAGATAATGAATCACACATTGAATTAGATAATGATTTGGATATTTCAACTACATCATCGCACAGTGTAGAAACCGTCTTGGAAATCAAAAAATTGGATGGTAAACAAACCCAACAAACTATCACACCAAACCTTTTTAACTCAGATAACATTCAACCTATAATGGCTGATACTTTTCAAGAAGAATCAACCAGGAGGTTCGGCATCAAGTTGCGATTCCTCATGGTTATAACTATATTCCACTTTCTAAGCACGTTTCACCCACAGAGCCTGCAAGAATATATCCATTTTGAATTGGATCCATTCAAAAAGTTGCAATACACTGTATAGAAAGATTTGAATCAATTCTAGTTAGTGCACACACTTCTGCTGGAAAGACAGTTGTTGCAGAATATGCTATCGCACAAGCTTTGAAAAATAAACAAAGAGTCATTTACACCACTCCAATAAAGGTATGAACGATTTCAATAAAATAAACTTCTTTTTATTCTAGTAATTAAACCGTTAATTATTACTATTATATTTAAGGCTTTAAGCAATCAAAAATACAGAGAATTAGAAAATTCTTTTGGTGATGTTGGATTGATAACTGGTGATGTTACTATTAAACCTGATGCAAGTTGTTTAGTGATGACTACAGAGGTAGTTTTAGAATCCTTTACATAAAGAATTATATATACATATATAAATTAATAAATCATTATTCAAAAAAATAGATTTTATTGACTATGCTCTATCATGGCAATGAAATGATGCATGAAGTGTCATGGGTAATTTTTGATGAGATACATTATATGAAAGATAAAGGTATTCGAAAATTTACAAGATGAATTAGTTAATTAGTGAAGGAAAAAAATTTATTTTTAGTTAACATTTTTATTTGATTTTAATCCAGTCTGTGGTGTAGTTTGGGAAGAAACTATTATTCTTTTATTGCACCAAATTCATCTTGTGTTTTATCTGCAACAGTTCCAAACACTATGGAATTTGCAGAGTGGATATGTAAAATACATGCAGAAGTAAGATTTTATATAAAAAATTTTTTTTTGGTATTTGATTATTTTATTGATTGATTAATTAACTTTATAGTTTAATTTAAAAATATGCTTTGTTTCTTAATAGCCATGCCATGTTGTATATACTGATTTCCGTCCAACGCCTTTACAGCATTATATTTATCCTTGTGTAAGTATGGTATTTTCATGATTGCAGATGAAAAAGGAAATTTTCACCAGGAAAATTTTAAAAAAGTAATAGTGATGTTGGATGTAGGTGCTAATACTAATGCTGAATATATTGATTATAAAGGAAAGAAAAAATCATCACTACCACAAACAATAAAAGGTATTAAAACAATAACAATTATTAATATCTTTTTGATTACTAGTGCCTACAAGAATTATAAAACTTATTGTTTAAACTTAGGCCTGTCCAATGTTTGCAAAATAGTAAATATGATTATGCTAAAAAAATATGATCCAGTGATATTTTTTACTTTTAGTAGAAAAGAATGTGAGAATTTGGCACTGCATATAAATCATTTGGGATTTTAATACTGGTAAAATAAATTTATTCAACTTTAGTTGTACCTTTTAATTTTGTCATCTTTAAATTATTTTAGATGAAGAAAAGGATTTAACACAACAAGTATTTGACAATGCACTTAATTTAATTCCTGAAGATGAACAAAATATACCACAAATTGAACACATGTTACCATTTTTAAGGTGTAGTGTTGCAATTCACCATTCAGGATTATTACTGTTTCTTAAAGAGGTTGTTGAATTACTTTTCCAAGAAGGGTTAATTAAAGTTCTTTTTGCGACCGAGACATTCTCAATGGGTCTTAATATGCCTGCTAAAACTGTTATATTAAAAAGTTCAATGGTGAAGTTGTAAGATATATAGGTTGTTTACAATGATTTTTATCACTATTATCATGTCAAATCAAACTCTAAATTAATTTTTGAATAAATTATTATTATTATTAGTTAACTCCTGGTGAATATATTCAAATGTCTGGTTGAGCTGGTAGAAGAGGTCTTGATACAAGAGGAATTGTAATAATTATAGCAAGAGAAAAATTAGAACCATCAGTTGTTAAAGGAATGATGATGGTAAATTGGAATTAAGAGTTATTAGCTATTTAATCAGTCTATTAAAAAAATCATTTAATTTGTTTGTTTCTAAAAATAGGGCGAACCTGATAATATATACTCTGCATTTCATTTGAAATATAATATGATCTTAAATATGACAAGAGTTGAAGGAATTAGTCCTGATTATATTCTCCAGAGAAGTTTCTATCAATTTCAAAATACATAAGGATTACCAAAACTTGATGCGGGTAAAGATTATTAATTGGTTAGAAATAATTTTTTTTGATATCAAATAATATTTACATGAAAATTCATAATAGAACTTCAGAGACTAGAAAAAGAACATAAAGAAATTGATATACCTGAAGAAGAAGAAATTAAAGAGTATTACAATATTCGTTCACTATTGGATACATATACTCATGAAATAAGGAAGATTATAAACCATCCACTTAATATTCTGAAATACATGATAAAACATGCAAATGCAGATTTTGGCTGGGGTATGGTAGTTTCTTGGGGAAAAAGAAAGGTATTTAAATCAAATAAACAAATCTAAAACCATATAAATAAATAATTTTATAAATTATTTCAAAGTAAAATATTAATAATCAATATTATTATTATTAAAATAGAGTCCCACTGATGAAACAAAAAAAAGAATTAAAATCAGTGGAGGATAAATCAGATTTGAATCAAGTAGTGATTGAAAATTTAATAGAAAATTCAAATCATCAAGAGCTTTTTTTACCTCCAGATCATTATTTTGTTGATGTAATGTTAAATTGTGAATCTGATGAATCACATGTTGCTAAACCAGCAGATGATAAAATAATTACTGCAAAACCTTACAGTGGAAATGGTTTAGGAGAGATGATGGTATTATAAATCATTATGATTTTACGTAATTGTTTTCTTCCTTTTCATTTAACAATTAATAAATTTTAAATTCATCATTTATAAAATTGGATTGTTTCTGCTGATTTTTCTACTATTAATTATATAAGTCAAATATGTATCTTTCCACCCAAGGATCTAACACACGATGATTGTAAAAAGACAGTATATAATAGTATAATGGATATTAAAGAAAAATTTGCTGAAGGAATACCACTTTTAGATCCAATAGAGCATATGGGTATTGAAGAAGAGAACTTTCAAAGACTAATAAAAGTAATTAGACATATTTAATATTTTAATATTTTTTTTTTTTGAAATGAAATAATGTATATTTAATAATTATATATGTTTTAGAAAATTGAGGTTTTAGAAACAAAACTTGTGACCAATAAACTCCACAATACAGAAAAACTACCTAAGCTATATGAACTACGCTGTAAAAAGAATGAGCTCAAACTTAAGATAAAATCGTTAAAAAAGACAATTAATATTGCAGAATCTATTTTACAACTTGATGATCTCAGGTGCTGTAAGAGAGTTCTTCATTGATTAGGATATTTATCAGAAAATGATGTTGTTACAATTAAAGGGCGTGTTACTTGTGAGATTAATGCAGGGGATGAACTTGTATTAACTGAAATATTGTTGAATGGTGTATTTAATGATTTATTACTGCAGCCCTTTTAATTTGTTTCGTATTAGAGTGACCCAGTGATAAGAAATCAGGATTTGTTAAAGAAGAATTTTCTACAGTTTACAGTAAATTACAAGAGGTTGCACAAAATGTTGTTGCAGTATCTGTTCCCATTGAATAAAGAGGAATATCTAAGCTTGTTTCCTTCGGATATGATGGAAATTGTTTATAATTGGTGTTGTGTAAGCACTCAAAAATAATATCCATGCTTTGTTTTTATGATAATTTTTTTAATATTAATACTTTTTTGATGGATTTAGGGAAAACCATTTACACAAATTATAAAAATGGGTGATTCAATTTTTGAAGGAGAAATTGTTTGTACTTTTCATTATCTTGATGATTTATTACGAGGAATGATTGCAGCATCAAAGAGTATCGGGAATAATGAATTAGAAGAGAAATTTAAAGAAGCCATTGAAAAACAAGGCATGGTATAATTTTTGCTGCTTCCTTGTACCTTTGATATTTCTATATTTTATATTTTATTTAGAATTTACCTTCTATTAGAAATAATTGTATATAAAATAAAGAATAATTTAGATAGATATATATATATATATAAGATAATAATGGCATTCTCAAGGTCTTTGTAGTTTATTCAGTGAATTAACTTGATTAAAACATTTTGGTTTTTGAAAGCAATTTTTGCAAAATCATGATCCAAGACTTGTTGCATTGCGAAAGATACTTTTGATTTATGTCATGTGACGTTAAATAAAGACGTAGAGTACTCATTTCTTTTTAGCGAGTTCTACCTTCACCTTTGGTCGCTACAAGAGCTTTCAGCTCCATCCATTCATGTCAAGCCAAGTCTATGAAACAGCTTGAGGAGAGGATCTCTTTATTATCAGAGGTCTTTTTTCGCTTTGCTTCATAAATCCCTGTATCGTACGCATGAAATTAATTCTCTTACTCGCTTATAGATTTACTCTCTTCTTACAAAATTCAAAATAAGATCACAGGAATGGCGTAAACTTACGGGATCTGGAAAAGTTTGGGAGAATTGTGGATTCTTTTATTTTCCTTGCTTAACAGGCTTTCGAATGAAGCATATCAAATTTTTGGAAGAAATCGATGCTTTCAAAGCCACCGTAAAAATCTCTGCTGTGGAACTTTTACGTATATGACCGTGAGTTAGAAGTGAATTAATTGGGAGAAACATGAAAAGTTTGGAACTGGTTGGCGAGGCTCTATAACTTGAATTCAATATTCGTCAACATCCTGATATTTAGCTCGGCAATTCTAAAAGAAATAATAATATTTGAGCACTGAAAAACCACTGACAAAAAGCAGACCATAATGAACAAGCAAATCACAAAGCAGGTTACAAACAGAAGCCTGCCATAGTTATGTGAGTTGACCCTTTCTCAGGTCTCCCATACTACCTTTCGGTAGACCACAACGAAGCAGATCGTAAAACAGGCTACAAGCAGAAGCCCATCGTAGTCATGTGAAATTGGCCCTTCCTCAGAACTCTGGATACCTTCTATACTGCTTGCCGGTCATACATTATAAAAATACTTTCCTCAAATTTTTACTTTAATCGTTTGAAATTCTTTCTGAGTTAGTATTTTTCTGTAGGGATTAGAACTTTTTTTTAGTTTATCTGCATCCTTTTGAAATGAAAAAGGAAAGTCATCCTTTTCTAAACGATGTTGGTAAACAATACTGGCCGGGCAATGTTTCGTTAAAATAGGAATCCCACTTGCTGAATATATCCATTGTTCAAAGTAAATCTTAAGAAATATAGTGAACAAAAAATTAAGTTTATTTAAAGGTGATCGATCACAATAATACAGTCAAACCTTGCTATAGCGAACTATAATTAAATTCTTGTCATGATGGGGTTTTAAAATCTTTGCTTGACGTATAAAAACATAAAAATCCGTTGTGGCAAAGTAAATAAATTTTATTATTATTATGTATCCCCTATTTAGTAAAATTGATTCACTGTAATTTTTGTGATTATTATTTTGTAAAATGAGTGAAATTTTCAACTCATTGAATGAATTACTCACCAAACTAAATGAATCAAATGAAATTATTAATTCAAACAAATCACTCAACACATTAAAAATAATAGAAGATTGTACCAGTTGTTCACAAGAATATAATTATTATTATTATTCATTTTATGAATCATTAAATGAATTAAAAAAAATTTCAGAAGAATTAGGAAAGGAAGAAAATGAAGATAGGAAAGCAGAAATAATCCATAAATTAAGTGATGAATTAAATAAATTAGATGTTGAAATAAATAGATTAAGATTATGTGATGGGTGTCAAAAGAAGAATATATTAAATCCATTATATGAATTACTCACCAAACTAAATGAATCAAATGAATCAATTATTTCAAACAAATTACTTGACACATTAAAAATAATAGAAGATTGTACCAGTTGTACAAAAAGATATAATTATTATTATTTATTTTATGAATCATTAAATGAACTAAAAAAGATTTCAGAAGAATTAGACAAGGAAGAAAATGAAGATAGGAAAGCAGAAATAATCCATAAATTAAGTGATGAATTAAATAAATTAGATGTTAAAATAAATAGATTAGGATTATGTTATGGGTGTCAAAAGAAGAATATATTAAATCCATTATATGAATTACTCACCAAACTAAATGAATCAAATGAATCAATTATTTCAAACAAATTACTTGACACATTAAAAATAATAGAAGATTGTACCAGTTGTTCACAAATATATAATTATTATTATTTATTTTATGTATCATTAAATGAACTAAAAAAGATCTCAGAAGAATTAGACAAAAAAGAAAATGAAGATAGGAAAGCAGAAATATTCCATAGATTAAGTGATGAATTAAATAAATTAGATGTTGAAATAATTGGAATAACATTATGTTATGGGTGTCAAAAGAAGAATATATTAAATCCATTATATGAATTACTCACCAAACTAAATGAATCAAATGAATCAATTATTTCAAACAAATTACTTGATACATTAAAAATAATAGAAGATTGTACCAGTTGTTCACAAATACATAATTATTATTATTTATTTTATGAATCATTAAATGAATTAAAAAAGATTTCAGAAGAATTAGACAAAGAAGAAAATGAAGATAGGAAAACAGAAATAATCCATAAATTAAGTGATGAATTAAATAAATTAGATGTTGAAATAAATAAAACAGTAGTATTATTATGTGATGGTTGTCAAGAAAAAAAAATTTTCGACTCATTAAATGAATTACTCACCAAACTAAATGAATCAAATGAATCAATTAATTCAAATCAATTACTTGACACATTAAAAGTAATAGAAAATTGTACCAGTTGTAAAAAATATATACCAAGAAATAAGTTTGATTCATTTTGTAAATTATTAAATAAACTAAAAAAGATTTCAGAAGAATTAGACAAGGAAGAAAATGAAGATAGGAAAGCAGAAATAATCTATCAATTAGGTGATGAATTAAATAAATTAGATGTTGAAATAATTGGAATAATGTTATGTTATGGGTGTCAAAAAAAGAATATATTAAATCCATTATATGAATTACTCACCAAACTAAATGAATCAAATGAATTAATTATTTCAAACAAATTACTTGACATATTAAAAATAATAGAAGATTGTACTAGTTGTTCACAAAGATATAATAATTATTATTTATTTTATGAATCATTAAATGAACTAAAAAAAATTTCAGAAGAATTAGACAAAGAAGAAAATGAAGATAGGAAAGCAAAAATAATCCATAAATTAGGTAATGAATTAAATAAATTAGATGTTAAAACAAATAGATTAAGATTATGTTATGGGTGTCAAAAGAAGAATATATTAAATCCATTATATGAATTACTCATCAAATTAAATGAGTCAAATGAATCAATTATTTCAAACAAATTACTTGACACATTAAAAATAATAGAAAATTGTACCAGTTGTGCACAAAGATATAATTATTATTATTTATTTTATGAATCATTAAATGAACTAAAAAAGATTTCAGAAGAATTAGATAAGGAAGAAAATGAAGATAGGAAAGCAGAAATAACCCATAAATTAAGTGATGAATCAAATAAATTAGATGTTGAAATAAATAAAACAGTATTATGCGATAGTTGTCATGAAGAAAAAATTTTCAACTCATTAAATGAATTACTCACCAAACTAAATGAATCAAATGAATTAATTAATTCAAATCAATTACTTGACACATTAAAAATAATAGAAAATTGTACCAGTTGTAAAAAATTTGTACCAAGAAATAAGTTTGATTCATTTTGTAAATTATTAAGTAAACTAAAGATTTCAGAAGAATTAGGCAAGGAAGAAAATGAAGATAGGAAAGCAGAAATAATCTATCAATTAGATGATGAATTAAATAAATTAGATGTTAAAATAAATGGAATATTATGTGATGGGTGTCAAAAGGAGAATATATTTGATCCATTATTTGAATTGCTCACCAAATTAAATGAATCAATTGCATCAATTAATTCAAACAAATTACTTGACACATTAAAAATAATAAAAGATTGTACTGGTTGTAAAGAATGTGCACAAAAAAATTATTTTGATTTATTTTATGAATCATTAAACAAACTAAAAAAGGACTTGGAAGAATTAGACAAGGAAGAAAATGAAGATAGGGAAGCAGAAATGATTCATAAATTAAATAATGAATTAAATGAATTAGATGTTGAAATAAATAGAATAGCATTATGTTATGGGTGTCAAGAGAAAAATATATTCAACCCATTATGTAAATTACTCACCAAACTAAATGAATCAAATGAACCAATTAATTCAAACAAATTACTTGACACATTAAAAATATTAAAAAATTGTACTGGTTGTAAGAAATATGTACAAAAAAATAATTCTGATTTATTTTATAAATCATTAAACAAATTAAAAAAGATTTCAGAAGAATTAGACAAGGAAGAAAATGAAGATAGGAAAGCAGAAATAATCCATAAATTAAGTGATGAATTAAATAATATACATTACAAAATAGATGAAAGAGTATTATGTGATAGTTGTCAAGCAAAAAAAATTGGAAATAAAAAAATAGTTATATTTCTTGATGAATGTAAACAAAATGCAGGCAATAGTAATTATATGAAATGGATTCCATTTAATGAATTTAAAAACATTGAATACTTGGCTAAAGGTGGTTTTGGGGAAGTACACAAAGCAATATGGATCACTGAAAATAGGATGATTGTATTAAAAAAGTTATACAATTTCCATGATCAAGTTTTAGATGTTTTAAAAGAGGTAAATATTGATCTATTATAAAAGTTATTATTATTAATGTAAATGCTAATAATGAATATAATCATAATAATTTTAGTTAAAAACAAGTAATAAATTTGGACGTTTTGTTAACAAATGTTATGGAGTTACTAAAGATCCAAATGAGAATAATTATTCATTGGTATTTGACTATGCCCCAAATGGAGATTTACATAATAATTTATTAAAAAATTTCAAAGAAATTACTTGGGAACATAAAATTTATTCAATATATAAGATTTCAGAAGGGTGGGTTTTTTTGAATTCATTAATTTTTTTTATTTTTTTATATAAATACATAGTAAAATAATTATAATATATTGTTTTTTTTTTATGAATTAGATTAAAGAAGATTCATGAAAGTAATTACATTCATCATGACTTGCACAGTGGTAATATTTTTTCATACTCTCTTAATTATAGCCGAATAGGAGATTTAGGATTATGTCAACAAGTAGTTAAAAAAGATAATCCAAATAAAATCTTTGGTGTCATTCCATATCTGGCACCTGAAATATTATCAAAAAAACCATATACAAAAGAATCAGACATTTATAGCCTTGGAATGATAATATGGGAACATACTTCAGGAAAAAAACCTTTTCATTATAGAGAACATAATCATCATCTCATATTAGATATTTTAAAAGGAGTTAGACCTCAAATCACTGATGATACTCCTAAATTCTGTGCTGAATTGATCAAAAGATGCTGGGATCATTATCCAGAAAATAGACCAACAGCTGAAGAAATTCATAATTGTTTTGGACAATATTATTACTCATCTAAAAGAGAAAAAAAAATTATTAAATTAGCAGAAACTAATCGACAAAAAATCATCAATTCAGAAAAATACTTGTTAGATACAAAAAATCATAAACACCACCCAGAATCATTCTATACAAGCCGTCCACTAGATGAATCAATTCAGGAAGCTGAACTGTTAAATTGTTCATCAACTAGATCACATCAAGATAGTAATCTTCCTAACTTATTAATCTCAAAATATATCAGGTGATGGATGTTAATTATTGTTTATTATTGTTATTATTCTTATTATTTATTATTATTATTATTTATTATTATTATTATTATATATAAAATCATTATGTATTTTTCTCTTAGTTGAATAAACAAAAGATTATCTTTTATTATTTAATTTTTCCATTACATGTTTGCAATTAAGTACCAAGAAAACGAATGGAAACATCCCAATTTCCTTTTACTTTATATTATTATTTACTTAGATAGATAGCATGTGGAAAAGAAAGGAAAAAAAGAGTTACGACATTGTCAAAATATGACTAGAGTAAATGAATGTACAATACCAAGATCACGAAGAATAGGATATTTAGAAGCACAATTAAAGAATGCAATGGGATATAAATATTATTCAGCAATGGATATTAGAATGGGATTTAATAATTTATGGATAAAAAAGGAAGACGTTTATAAAACAGCATTTAAATGTATACAAGGAATATATGTGCAATTAGTCATGGGATTTGGATATAAAGATGCACCAACTGTATTTCAAGAAACAATGGAAAAAATATTTGATGAAATAATATTTGAAAAGTTTATATCAATATATATGGATGACATATTAATAAAGACGAATATGTTAAAAGAAATGATCATCAGGCTAAGAAAAGTATGAAAAAGGGAAGAATTAAAGCAGATCCATCAAAATGCGAATTCTTTAAAAAAGAAATAAAAATCTTAGGAAAATTAGTATCAGAGAAAGGAATTAGAATACCAGATTCATATTTAGAAGCAATAGAAAAATGGAAATGGCCAGAAGGATTAGAATCATATGG